CGCGGAGCTCCCGGGGGCCGGCGGAGCGAAGGGGCCGCGGGCAGCCAAACGCCGCGCGATGTTTCGCTGTCCGGTTTCACTGGAAGAGTAGAAAAGAAGAATTTTTTTTTCCTTCCCTTTTTTCCTTTTTTTAACTCTCGTGTTTTTCATATCAGAAGAGGAGCCCTTTAAGATCAAGGTTCGCGTTTGCAGTTCGTCCTTTCACTTGGGCGTTTTAAAGCTCAAGCCTGGAGAGCCGCGTCCATGGCAGATACGTTCCGCCTGCGAGATACAGAGCGGTGGACGTCGCAGGCTGACTTGAAACTACGCTGGTGGCTTGGGGAAAAGGAGACTTCTCTTCTTCTGCCCCTTCCTCATCCTTTTTACTCCCCCATCTCCTTTTGCTAGAGCACAGTCCTAGTTTCACGTTTTTCCTCTTTGTGCGCATTTGTAATGCAGCATATTAAAAGGCAAGTTATCCTGTAAAATTGCCCATTGCTTTAAATTACTGCCAGTAAAAGTGTCCAATTAATTCACTGAAAGGCTTTACGGTGGCTTAGGTTCTGTTATTATGTTGAGCTCTTGGTACGTATTCAAGGCAAAAAAGTGAGGCGGAGGGGGCAAGGAGCATTATTTGTATGGTTGCTTATGAGTCAGACGGTATCGTGAAGGTATTGATGTGCTTTTTAGGATGTTTGCTCAATAGCTTTGCTAAACTAGTCCTTGGGAGGTAGCAGTCTCTTTACTCTTCCTGCTGGGCCATCGTGAAGTGGTAGGAGGAAAGGGAAGGAAGGCTTGGGGAGAGCGTGCCCAGTCTGGCCCTGTTCTGCATGCACAACGTAGTTTATAAATTCTTATGCCAAAAGAACACTTTAGTCTCCGATGTGTCTTGATGTAACTGAGGGGGAATGTTTGAGCACCTCCCAAGCTCATCAGTCTTGCTTCAGACATTTGCATGTAAACCTTGTGATGCTTGTGTATTGGTCTTAAACTTTATTTAAATTGTGTGCCTAACACTATGTTTCTAAATAGATTTCTCGACAGCGAAGAAATAGAAATATTCTTTCGGAACTTACTTTGCAAGTATGTAATATACAGCTTGGAGATTCTTCATCTCTCTTAGTAACTTCTAAAATATATAGGATAGTAGTAAAAAACACAGAGTAGTAAGTAAACTGAGCAATGCAAAGGCCATTGTTTCAGAGTGTGAAGGGAGATGAGAAGCATGTTCGAAGAGAGGGATATGAAGAAATGAGTTAGAAGAGAAGGGGAGCTAAAACAGATGGTGTAGTAAAACAGGAAAGCAATATAATCTGACTTCACGTTTTGTGCAACTGGTGTTATTAAGAACTTCTGTACGTTTTGAGCTTCAGCTTTTACACGACTGTAACATACTGTCCAGTGTTACTTAGTAATTTCTAATTTTAGTTGTGAAAGCTCATATAAATTATTTTCTCTCTCTTAATTCATCTTTTCTTCATGAAAACTAAACTAAACATCCTGTTGGTGTTATGACTCACTTTGTAATTTAATTTGATTGAACAGCTTGATAGAGTTTGGTGTTGTGGGTGGATCTTTTCTTTTTTTCCCTCTTCAAGTCCTTAGTTAACTGGCTGACTTCTACCACTTTCATAATGCTGACTAGGTCTCTGAATTGGAAAGAGAAAGGATAGTGGTCTGATAGATCCAGTCAAAATGTGCCACGTGTATAGGCTTAGAAGTAACAAGAACTTTGTTATAGAGCTTGATGGATGGGAATGGCTTTGTGAACACAATGAAAAAGGAGATGTGATAGGGTAAGAGACAAGAGCATTTGAGAAGAGAGAGGCAGAGTTCTGAAGAGCCTCGAAAAGGAGAACAAACAAATTGACTTAATGTGGTGAAGCAAGGGAATTCAGACAGTTTTTTGTTTAAATTTGCACGTGCAAGAGAGACAGAATTTGACGCTTATACCAACAGGAAAGAGGCTCTTCTAGCTGTTGACATTGAGTAGATGGCAGGTGGCAATATGAATGGTGAGAAGGTTGGAAAGAATGCGTTGCCAAGGGTGGTCATGATGAAGGAAAGATGAGGCCTTGGAAAAGGACTGTAAATGTTCGGAGAGAAAAGATTATTGTTACCAATTCTGTAGACAGAATGGAAAGACTGCCTTAAAGTTACAGGGATGGGTTTCAGGAAGGGCAACAGCATCATTAGAGTTGAGGAAGAAAAGTTAGAATTCAGCTTTGGTAGCGATAGCGTTCTTTCCTGTGCTAAACAACAGGAGGTAGCAGGAAGATGCTCTGTCAGTGCTCTAAAAAGTAGAGGGACAGAGTATTTGTAGAGGAATTATAGGAAAGGTCGAGGTATTGAACGGTTTTTGACTCCTTGAAAAGGAGAATCTAAATGAACCCCCACAAATATGAAGAGAGGCAGAAGAAAGGCTAAGTGAGGAAAGATTCATCAGCAAGTAACTATCAAGGGGTATTTTTATTTCTTTGTTTGCTGTCTTCAGCAGGGTCAAAGATAGTTGAGAAGACAAAGAGGATGAACATAAAGTAAAACCTGAAGCTGACTAGAACAGGTTTTTAAAAGGGGGAACAAAAAGCCATCTGAAGGCTTTGTGTGCAGCAGTATTACTGTCTCATCTGAAATGTTTTGGTTATAAATCACAAATTTATTTTTCACAGGCACTTTTTTAACTAATCAAAATCAATTTGCCATCTCTCTCATTCTTGGGAAACTACTGCAGCTGTGTGTCTGTGTTTTTTCTTTTTTTTTAAATCACAAAAAAGTGATATAGAATCAGGGGGCAGGAGGGAAGGCCAGCATCATGTGATCAGTGAAGTCCCTGCAAGCGACCACTGGTCCACAAGCCATGGTATGAAAGCGTTTGGTATAATTCAGCTCCTAAGAAGCAGTACAATCTCTTGGTCTCTGAATCTTCTTAATGACCAAAGGGCTCTGGGTTGGAAAGAAGAGAGGAAGAAGCTTTATTAAAGCTGTAAGGTAAGGACTGACATGGAAGGTGCCTAGGTGAGTACGATCCACAGATAATTTAGGAAGTGGTTATCCTGAAGATGGGTAACTAGGCAGATATGTTAGTTGCCTGGGTAACCTGCCTTTATAGGTTTTGCACATCTTCCCTAAAACTGGAACTGCAATAGGTGAGAAAAAGTTGGTCTCATCCAGTAAGAAGAACTGCACAAAGCCGATCTTAGAGAGAGCAAGAGGAACTTTGCTTTTAAGCTTTGTTAAATTATCTGTCTGAATAAATTCAGAGGAAATAATTGCTTCTAAACTAGAACATAAAACTTTAGATGTGCTGTCACTGGGTAGACAAATATTTTGATGTTTTGCATTAGTAGATTTTTTTCTTATTCACCTATATTTCACTATTGCTTTCATACTGAAACAGAGAAAATCGTGCTTGCAGTGTGACTGCCTAATGCAGGGACTCAAAAGAATGATTGCTCAAACCTATGTACTCCTACTCCTTTCCTTGCAGGAATATCAGGCTTTAAACTGCCAAACTGTCTTTCATCCTTTCTCACTTGTCTCTTCCCCGCTCCACCTTAAGATCATATCACAGTTGTTTGTCTTCCTATAACTTCTATCTGTCCTTAGGTTGAGAACTTTTTGGAGTATGGGCTGTCTTACCTGAATATTTGAATAGATCCTGGTGTGTAAGAGTTGTTGGCCTTAATAACCATTGACTTGATCACTAAGAAGTTAAAGCACAGACCTTGAGCCTGGATGGCCCAACCTCAAGCAAGCCTTAATATGGAGAGCCAGATTATTCCAGTGCATAGGGAGCATTGAAACTGGGGTGGTTGTCCACCGTTTGCATCTCAGCAGACAAACTGGGCTGAGGCTTATGGTTCATGTTGGCTCTTACCAATCACTTGCAAATCTGTAATGCATAGATGAGAGCTATTTTGTAGTGCAAAGCTGGTCTTAGAGGAAGGAAGGGGTTCCAGCTAAAATAAGAAACCAAAAAGCAATGTTATTAACATAAAAAATTAAGAGATTCAGATTTGTGAGCTGAGCCAGGGGTTCCTTCTTCCCCCCCCCCCACCCAAAAAAACCCCAAAACAAAACGCACATAAAAAATTAAGAGATTCAGATTTGTGAGCTGAGCCAGGGGTTCCTTCTTCCCCCCCCCCCATCCAAGACAATACCCAATACAGAGCTAAGGGAAATAAGTCTTCCCTCCCAAATTTGCTTTAAAGTTTCTCTGATCTGTCTTCACAACACTGTATTTTTTGAAAACTTTCCCTGACTAAAAGCAAGAGGAAATAAAATTTCATTTTCTACCGGTATAATAATGGGTATGAGGGCTTGCTTATCACTGACTGACTTTGAAGCCATTACATTTTTGTAAACGCAGCGTGATCTAAAGATTGAAATAGAAACTGATGGCAACGCCACTGCATTTCTATATTTCTTTGCACTTATCACCAACTTTTGGGGACAACCTTCAGACCGTTCTGTAGCAGAAGAGTCATTTAAAGTTGGCGAGCGTCGGTGCGAGTGGGTATATAAACATCTTTTGAGGTTAATTATACTTGCCTGTAAAGTAGACTAGGCTTTATCTCGCAGCAGAAGGAAAGCAAAAATTGATCACTGTTAGCTGACATGGAGTAACTTTTCCTAAAATGGTGACTAGGCAGGGCGTTTTTTCCCCTTAAAGTTTATTAAAATCCAGTTGTGTGCCCATTGCCCTCAGTTTGAAAGGATTTAAACTCCCTTCTTGTATAAGGAAGGGCAGATAAGGTTTGATTTCGTATGCCAAGTTTAAGCCCCTAGAAGACATCTCGTGTCTAATCTCGTCACTGTAGGCTTCTGTGGCATTGGTGGAGGGAAGCAGGCACCTCAAATAGAGTGCGTAACCTATTTTTGGATGAGACTATAAAGCAGTAATGGATCCTGCCCCAAGTATGTTAGTTATGATTACCCCGTCAGTGTGTTATTTCACTGGAGCTGTGCTTACTGCTGAAAGACTTTATTAATTTTAAATTGTATTACATAGTGTGAAGAAAGTTCAGTAAACAGAACTTAACCACCCACTCAGTATTTGCTCGTCCCCTTTCCTTGTTTTTAAGAGAGAGATGAGTGGAAAGAACCTCTCCATTTCGACCACCTGTAACTGCTTTTTTGTCTCTACCAGCTGATAGCCCTGGAGGACAGCAGTTCTGCTTAGCAAGCTGTCAACTGTGAGAGGAGCATGTTAACTGAGAAAGGGGACCTGCAGCTTTTGCAGCCCTAGTGGAATTCCAGTCTGAACTGATTCCCTTTCTCCTTGTCTCAATTATCACAGATACTTTTCAGTCTTAAAAATAAGCGTGCTTTT